TAAATGTTTGATGAAGAATTGCGAAATTGCGAAACTTACATGGTTGAAAAGATCCTCTAATCAGTAGATTCGAACAACTTCGATATCCATAGGCGCCTCAAAGGCCTGAGTGTTTTATACAAAACATTAGAATTTCCCTTTAGATTCGATCGGTCGCGCGAAAAATGCATTCAAAAAAAATTCTCAAAAAGTGCTCGAGAACTTTCTGTACAATTAATTTGGATCGACTCTATATAACTTTAGTTTTTTTTTACGACATTAGGTCTCTGATTGTCGCCTTCGAAAAAAGAGATACTCATAACTCTGTACTGACCCCTATAGATGGTGTTTTGGAGCGCCTTATTGTCTTAACCTATTGAACAATTGATTGAACAATTGATTATTATGTTTTATTCATGCAAATCAAATATTATTCATGCAATAAATACCTTCTACATATCAATATAATCTCTTCACAGCTGATGCTGTATCCATTATTCCACATATGTACATCTGCAATCCTCAAGTGCATGCTCAGTGAGCACGTCGAGCAGCTCTGTTGGTGTCTGAAATCCAGAAAAGGTATAGAAGAAAAATTTTCAATTGGCTTATTGTAATTTTCGCACCAAGTCGGTGTTTTCATCGTATTCATATTTGGCTTTCTTTTTCATTCTTTCTTCGCATTCGATATTATCGACAAGTTCGAACAGACTGAGTTGCAAGCGCCATCTTCTGACCTCATCTTCCAGCTCTTGCTTCTCTCTCTTTCTTTTCTCCCGCTTCTTTCTAAATTTTGACTTATTTCCAAAAAATACGTTTCAACAATTTCACCTACCTCTCTCTTTCTCTTTCTTTTTCGATAATGGTCCGTACTTTTTGTTTCGATTTCTCATCTGAAATCAAAAATTTGGTCAACACACTGCGACCTTTTTTATTCAGTAAATATAGTACTTACCAAGATTTGACCCTTCCAACATCGCTTCTTCAGCTTCTATCTTTCTTTTTCCTCTTTTTCCAACAGAGCTCTTCTTCACCTTCTCAGCAAACTCGTACAGAGCAGCCCTTTTTCGTGCCTAAAATAACCTAGTCTATTGCAAATAACTTTTTCTCGAATCACAGAAAAAACTAACTTTTTCGGCTTCCTCTTTCCAATCTTTCATTTTATCAGGAGTGCAAATGTGATTTAGTTGGCATGGGTCAGAAA